TCTTTCTTCTCATGGGGCAAGAAGGGTTTTGAAGACAACAGATACCACAGGGAGAACCTTGGGGAAGGTATCATGGGCACCATTAAAATAATGGCAAATTAAAAAAGAAATCTCATGCTGGGGGACAAATGATACAAGTGGTAAAAATTTATTTTTAAATCCCCAACCCCGAACCTTTGGAAGCAGAAGATTCTGAGCGCACGCCCTGCTTTCCTTGCTGAGCCAGGGCTGTCAGCCATGGCCATCATCAGGAGACTTCACTAACGTGTGGCAGGGCCATCTTGAGGACAGTGCCTCCCACCCTCCCGTCCTCTGACAATGTCCTTCCTCCTCTTATTTGCAGGTTATACTGCACTGTGGGCTGGGAAAACAAACTGTCAGACTGTTAGTTAAACAAATTGTCACGGTGGACATTGACCCCTGGTGACTGGGTCTAGTCAGGGTCTCTCTACTCAGTGTGCATTTTGGAATTTTCCAAGTTCCCGGCGCCCACCCCTGGGGACCTTGATGGAGGAGGTCTGGGAGACCCTGGGAATGTTTCTGAAGACACTCCCAGGGACTGGCGATGCTTATGTTGGCTAGAGGGCCGCGGTCACCTTGAGTTCAGCCCTGCGCAGTGAGGCACTAATCCTGTCTGGAGGTGAGCATGTCAAGATAAGCCACACACCCCCTTTCTCCTCATAGCCCTTGAGATAAACCCGTGTACTACAGGACCAAAAAAAAAAAAAAAGAGTTTCCAAACCACACAATATTTCATAGAACAAAATAGAGATTTTTATTTCCAAACATAAAGCAGATATATTTTTTTAAAAAACATAAAGCAACAATGGAAACGTCAAACCGTCTTTTAGAACACAGCACTTTCAAGCAGAGGACAGGAACTTCAGGGTGACCTTAAAATGCAGCTCTAAGAAGGAGCAAGAAGAGTTCCTGTGTCCCTCCCCACAAAGCCAGGAGGGTAGGGAAGGTCTCAGTTGGCTTTGGACTTGATGTGACCTGAGATAACACTCAGGTTCCAAGACATTCATTTGGCTCCAGTACTGCTTGCCGGTGTTCCCAGAGAGCTTAATTTATTGCAAATGCATGTTTTATAATCACAGATAACATGACAAGGGGATATGGTCCCTGTGCACACTGTTTATATAATAAAACATTTAAACAATGAAATTCATTTGCTTTTGACACCAACACGACTCAGGCAGCATCTACACACACAGACACACACACATCTCCTCCTGGTTCACGCGGCATGACCCACACCATTCCAGCCACACAAGCTAGTCAGTTTCAGGCTAGTGTGACCAGATCCTCAGGAGCAAAAAAATGGGGCAAGCCTGCTTATGCAGACTTGGCTCAGGGTAGAGTGAGCATGAGATTCTTTGCTGCCTTTGAGCTGGGTTCTGAGAGGCCCAAGGACACCCAGTTCTGCACCCTTCCTTGGATGGACCAATGAGACTAACAAATCAGGTGGGAGGCTCTGGAGGGAGAGGGCTGGCCTTTTAGACTTGGAATGGAGGCCAAAATTACTCATTGCCCCAAAGCTGGTGTTGGAGCCTTGCGAGAGAGAGAGAGAGAGAGAGAGAGAGAGAGAGAGAGAGAGAGAGAG